TCTTTTAGATTTACTCAACGTCACCCTGGTTGGCACTTAAAGGGTTTTCATCCATGGCGGTTCAGTAACCAGAGGTGTTGCAGGGTAAAACGAGGTCTAGTTCTGTGATGAGAGCTGCTTTGCAGATGTGTTCCTCGAACATGTTCAACTTATTTGCAGTTCATCCCACGTGCTTTCTCCCTTTGGTGTCAGAGCTGTTTACTGTGGAGGCATGCTGGTGTGTCCTTTCTGGCATCCAGCAGACCATGGCAGGAGGTACTTCTGTATTAAATATGGCCAAAGTGAAGGTTTTGCCAGTTTTACTGAAGTTCATCAGTTTGACAACGTTTCTGTATGGTTTAGATCTGCACAGTTCTTGATGACTGTCAATAAGGATCATACCTGGATCTATATGCCCACATGCTTTTAATACTGAAACTATTGATTGGATTAATTGTGATGAAATGATTATTCAACTAATTTAGTAGTTGATCCATCATTAAAAATGCAGTATGTAGCTTTTCTAAAGAAATGTTTTTCACATATCAAACTGTCACCATGTCATCACCGTATGGCTTGAGGCAGATAATCTGTGAAAAGATTGATCTCCTCCACCTCCTCCCTGATCTACTATTGCTGTCTGAATGAATTCACCGGTCCCAAGCCAAAACAACCAATCAGAGTCAGGAGGAAGGTCTTAGCACTGTAAATCAACCCTGTGTACTTTCTGCTCAGTTTGCTAATGGCAGAGAAACAAACTTACTGATACAGGAAAACTTGTTTATCTGCTGTCATCAGTGGCCATACTAACTAACCTAGAATTTTCAACAGACTGTGTGAATGCTCAATCACAATCTCTCGCAATGCGAGATTGTGATTGACAGCGCTAAGAGCTGCCCCCTGTCTCTGATTGGTTGTTTCTAGTTAGCACTGAGAGAAGGAAGAGGAGCCAAGGTTTTTTTTTTTTTTTCCTTTTTTTCTCACAGATTTTGTCATAACATATTGTCATAACGTAATAGCAATTTCAACGAATATGTAAATATATATTGTAGTGTATGTATACATACACATACTACACCATTAACTGCAGAATTAGAAAAAAGGCTATTTGCAGAAAGAACAACATTTTTGGGGCAATAGTTAAGCCGACACTAATACTATGCAAACAAAACTATACATTTTGCATTTAAGATTAAAGAAATTTTGTCAGATTGATGCATCTCTACTACAAATGCCTCTTCTTCCTTGCTCACACTGAGCTACAGAAACATTATCTTTCTGGAGTAACTAAAATGATTAGTCATTATTATTACCAGTACCTTTGGAAGTTTCCTCAGCTTATTTGCAGTAGAATACAGTATGATTGTTAGACTGTCACTTTTTATTAATTGGTCTAAATCCTACTGTTTGGGACTGGAATTTGAGTTGATTGACTGAACTCTATTGTTGGATTGAATGTAAATATGACTGGGTTAGAATTGCTCCTGTTTGTTGTTCTGTACAGCGCCCTGTGGTGACACTTGGATCAGCCTAAATGAGCTGATTCACTCCTCGGTGTGTATTCTGCTCTGTAGTTAAGACAGAGTGTTTGCCAATCTCTGTGTCTAAACACAGCTGCACTCTGCATGTTTGAATAATCTCTTACTCATTGGTACTGTATCATATTGCACTGTGGAGTAGTGCTTTATCACTGTAAGTAATATTAATGCAGCAAAGAACTGCATGCCATTCATTTTTCTTGCTCCTGATTGGCTATACTCCCAATAGAAGAGATGAGGAAAACAGTGGACGTTATCTTCCATGGTAGTGCTAAGACGGTTTTCACTGTGTGCATTAATGTATATTTCGTGTTTGAACTATTAAAATAGGCAGTTATTGGCATTTTAGAAGGGGTCTCAAATATTCACAGACTGTGCCCCCCCGGGAATCCAGTAGTAGCATTTGTTGTTTAAATCTAAAGGCCTTATCAAAAGACTTAGCCTGGTGGCCAAGTAAAGCCTGGTGCCCCGCCAGGCTTATAATGCACTGGGGGAAACCCTATAACTGACAGACCTGCTCACCAGGGCTCAGTCAATAGTCACCCATTTTCACCAACTTAGCAACTTTGTCTCTAAATAAAACAAATCCATATTTGTCAAATTCTGAATTGCCTATTCAGCTTTTTAGAATTCAGTGTTTGGCCAAAAAACTGCAATTAGTGCACCCCTACTTGTGACCGATAGTCATTGGAATCGGGGCTTTTATGCTGTGAAAGCCTGATTTTAATCTGGGTGGATCTTAACTTGCAGGCTCACTGAAACAGTAATCCTCCTCTCACTTCTGAAATCATGAATGTACCACCCCTATGGAGTCTGAGCTGCTGTTGAGCTGTTCTCTTTAATGACTGAAAAGGTGGAACAAAGAAACTAACTTGATGATAGCTGAGAAGTTTTTTGAGGAAATATAAATAAGGTACAAAGACAGGAGCAGAAAGGATTAAGAAAAATCTAGCACTTTACAAGTCTAACTGAAAAATCTATTTGGAAATTGGCTTATTACCTTTTTTTTTAACAGCTGATTAACAGTGAAATGATTCATCGAGAAGAGTCCCCATGGCTGCTGCTAATTAATATTTATCAGGATTTAATCATTGTATCACTTTATCTGGGATTCTGTATTTTTCAAAGTATTACAACATATTCTGTACTTCAGAGCACAAACACTGAAAAATATTCCAACTTCACCTGCTAAAATGACAGCTTCTCTCTTTGGACTTTACGATACGACTGAAAAACATATTGTGATACAAGGGTTTCATATCAGTCAATATTGATAATTATTGATTAGTTTTTTTTTTCAAATATCTGAAATACTGCCAAACTTATGATATGACCTTTCCTGTCTGACAGTTTTCACTCTGTTTTTTATTTTTAAACAGTTATGAGTCATGGTGGCAAAAACTAAATCTGCTGCTGCGTAAATTACCCAGTAGGTTGTTGCTAGGTAACCAGTGAGTGAGTGAGTGAGTTGGTTGATGCTGGCTGTGAGAATTTGAGCAGGTAAAGCCTTTCCTCTGCGTACATCCCCCAGAATGCTATGCGGTTCAGAGTTTAGTGAAAGTATTGAATATTCTATCGATATTGATCACGTTTCTATAGCAATACATATTTTTGATTTATTTGTCCAGCCCTGCTCTCTCTCGCCAGCATGGGTTTAGATGTCTGGAGCCCATTTTAAAGTCAACAGGAGGATTTTGAGGAAGGCTGAAGGCGAACGTTTGGCAGCATTACTATTGACTGCTCAATATTGTGCATGTCCTCACATAGTGCTCGTAAAGTTTTACATCTTTCTCTTACTGTTGCCTGGCAACTGTCCCTCTTCTCTTAGTTTGCTTCCTCAGTTTCATTGAGCTGGTGCCCTAAGTTCCCAGACACTGGGCTGTGGTAGAGGCCGTGTTGTCTCATCAGTGAGAGGAACGGCTGCAGCGCTAGGCACCTTACTCATCAGTAATTATTTAGAGAGCAGGAGAGGAGAGTGTGGACAGATTTGACTCTGCCCAGCTTTCAGGGCTGTGATGAAAAGAGCAGGTATGTTCTCTGAGAGCTGCTCTGCTGCCGCTGCATACCACACTGTGTGCTGCTTCAACCTTTATGGAACAAACTTCTGCTGTCATCTGCTGGGGCAGCAGCATCACAGCCAGAGAGGATATTAAGATCTGGAATTAGTTTTTCCCTCCTGCTTTCCTTCATTCTTTCATTCCTTCATTAGTTCCTTACTTTCTTTTTTCCTTACTTTCTTTTTTCCTTACTTCCTTTTTTCCTTCCTTCGTTCCTGTATTCCTTCATTTATTCCTGGCCGATTCCACTTTTGGTCAATACCAATTTTTTTGTGTGAATTGTTGCTCAATATAGCAAGAAAGTTACTGAATTTTCAACAGTGGGGTGACTTTAGTTAACTGTAAACGTGCAGACCTGACCTGGTGGGCCTGTCGGTCAGCCAGACCTTTCACAGCAGAGGAAAAGAGGACAGTGGTTGATTTTTAAGCCTTTGCTGAGTTGGATAAGACCCGTGGATAAGATCGACTTCACCTGGAAAACCTCCACAGGTGGAGATGCTGTGCGAACATCTTGATCCCATCCCTGAACCAGGTAGCAGTGGCTTTTGAGCTCCTTTCAGATCAGCTTGAAGGAATCTGTGTTGGATTGACTGAAGTGAATCTTCTGGAGCCTGAAGGAATTTAGGAACTCTGTTTAATGAATGTTAAAGTAGTTTGCTTATTTCAGGTGTCAAACTACACGCTGTAGTAAGATCTAGAGATCTGTAGTAAGATGTATTTGTAATAAAAAAAACATGTACCTAAAGTTCCTTTTAGTTTGAATAANTATTTATTTAAATTTTTTATTACACTTTTTAAAATATATTTACTTAATTTTTTTTCTTTGAAAATTGACGTCATGTACTCTGCACTTGTACGGTGCAGAGTACATGACGAGCTGTACGGTGTAGTGGCAGAGCGACTCCAACACAAACGGAGGCCGCTGCTTCTCAGCACAACTCCACTCCACCTGGCTTGTGCTGAGTGTCTGAACAGTCATTAGCACCAAAAATGTAAAAAGAACAACAAAAAAAAAAAACAGGTTACTTCTTTAGTTTTTTTGGTTTTTGGAGCTTATTTATCTGAGCTGGCACCTGACATTTGAGACCTAATCTGAGTCCATCCGGCGTCCCGTATGAGGAAAAAATATTAGTTTAAAACCAGTTTTAAACTAAGAAGTTTCACTGTTTTTGGTCTGTAAACCTATCAAAAAATATACTATACTTTGATGCATTTTTTATGCTTAGGAATAAATGTCTTGATTTATAAATGGGGATAATCTTATAATTCATCGTATAATGCACTTGTTTTACTTTTTGCTTTTTCCAGTCCTCCTTAGAAAAACACCTTAGTTGCTAAGTTAGAGCTAAAAAAAATTCAACAATTGTTGGTGCATTTCCTAAATTAACCAAGTGCTCCTCTTTCTTTTTGTTGCCTCATGTTGCAGGTTCAACTACAGGTCCACTCACCACCTGACCTCCAATGGCTTCTATGAGTTCCTCAACTGGTTTGATGAACGAGCCTGGTATCCTCTTGGTAGGATAGTCGGAGGCACTGTAAGAGTTATTTCCACTTTCTGTCTTGCGTACCTTGCAGGGCAGCTTCTTTTTACTCTTTGCATACGTCTCAACTAATAATCTATGATATCATGGGTAAGCTGATCTGATTCAGCTAAGCTACTACCCTGTAAGTTTTCTCCTCTTCTGTATTGTTCCTGTTTCCCAGTTTTCCACCATTAGCTGATAAAACAACTTCACCACTACATTTGTTTCATCAGAAGCAGAGAGAAGAGCAAAAACCATATTACACTGGGTTTCTGCGCATCCTTGAAAAGTCTTAAATTAATTTAAAAAATGTTAGGTGACCTTAAAAATGTTTATCATAGGCCTTACATTTTGTCGTGGCAGGATTATTTAATCTCATGTTTTATGTAGTTTACTTGCATGTAGCTTAGTCTTAATTTTGTTCTGTGACTTGAGGTAGTTGAGGCTACTGCTAGCTAGTTGCTAATATACCCTAGCTAGATAGCTGGGTAGCTTTTCTTTTTTTTTTTTTTTCACATTTATCATGAGGATGTGTAAATTTATGATTGGTGCTGGACGATGTTTGTCTTTGCCATTGACTCACTTCTGTTGCCAACCTACAGGATGCTACATGCATTCTGTGCAAAAAGGCTCAACATTACTACAATATAAAATATGCAATTTTCTTTTGTATATTTCTGTCATGGTACACGTCTTACATTTCCTGCATAATGGTCTTAAAGAGCCTTTTTTGCTCTCTGACTGGAGTGATTTTCTGTCCGTCTGCTCCCAGGTGTACCCAGGCCTCATGGTGACGGCGGGCCTCATCCACTATGTGCTGAACCTGCTCCATCTCACCGTCCACATCCGGGACGTGTGTGTTTTCCTGGCGCCCGTGTTCAGCGGCCTGACCTCCATCTCCACCTTCCTCTTGACAAGGGAGCTGTGGAACCAGGGGGCGGGGCTAATGGCGGCCTGCTTCATCGCCATTGTCCCAGGCTACATCTCCCGCTCCGTAGCCGGCTCCTTCGACAACGAGGGCATCGCCATCTTTGCCCTGCAGTTCACTTATTACCTCTGGGTACGCCCAAGCAATTTCTATTATTATTACTATGACTTGAAACTCCACTTAGAAGTTTACATTTCCTCTTGGCATCGTCTTCCAGGAAGCTGGAATTGGCACATTTCCATTTCCAATCTGTTCAGTTCCAATTAAATTGGGCTAAAATGGAGTAAAAACTGGATTCCATTGTGTTACCATGATGAAGTTGACTCCAAGTCTTTTCACCTTCCTCATTTACTCTTTCTGTACTTTTTTAACCTCACCTCCTCCATCATTCCAGCAGCAGCTCTAACCTGAGTCACTTAGTCAGGCCTCGTTAGCCCTGTTATGGCCTCATTAGCCACTGCAGGGGGGAAATGTGCAGGACATGGTGCCTCACTTTGTGTCAGTCATTAAAAAAAGGAAAACATGATGAATAATTCAGCCAGAGCCAACGAGTTGGACATTCTGCAACAGAACAGCATGGAGTAGCTCAGGCTAATGGAAGCTTTTCATGTGCGTGTGTGGTAATGCTCTCATTTGTGCACTGCAGGTAAAGTCAGTCAAAACTGGATCTGTCTTTTGGGCCATTGGCTGCTGCCTGTCCTACTTCTACATGGTGAGGACTCGCATACAAATGCTTCTCCTAGTTTCATTTATTTTTTGTTTGTTTCATGACCCTAAATGAGTTATTTGTCACTTTTATTGTGATCACAGTACTCAGATTTTCTGTTTCTGTCTTTAATCACAAGAAAACATTTACACTGCCTCAATAAAGTATTAATAACCCATGATCTTGTAAATACAAACAAAAATTAGGGTCAGTTCATATTCAAGAATGTATTTCTTGAATGTAATCCAATGTTTTGCAGTCTGATTCAATATAAAATTGCAAATTAGAGTTCAGTTTCACACCGTTCACTTGACGTGACTCGTGACGCTGACCAGGACCAGGCAGGAAGGGATGACTGGCTAACAGCATGGCCCTGTTAGGGAGTGGATCAAAGCGTCACTTGTGCTTTTTTTAAAGTACCAGAAATCCCCAAAGTGATTCTGAGAGTTGATGAATGTGAGCATCAAACCACAAATCTGGAATGAAACGATGAACCAGTCATATTGACACTCCACAACAGTCACTCTGGCTCATCTTTCCCCCCACAAAAAGTCAAAGTCATCATCTTTCTCACAGTCTAAGTGAAGCCCTGAAACCCAACCAAGGAAATTTTTTTTAGGATGGTTATTTTAGTATCACTTTGCTTTGTTCTTCGCTGGAAAGTTGAATCTGCAATATGTAACTTGTATAAAAAATATTTTTTATATATTTATTACAACTTCCACCATGACCTGACAGTATAATGTGAGACAGATAATTGGTGTAAAACATGAAAGCTTTAATAGAAAACTATTTTTTGAGGCAATTTTTTCTAAATAGTTGTTTTTGTGATGCCTCTTGTGGTAAGAAGAGGTATGGCACAAAGATCCATCCTTCTGTGTAGTAAAGGTAGAATGATGCCTCAGAATACATTACCCATCCAACCAACTGCAATCAAAGGACAGGGCAAAATAAAAATCTACACTATAAATTCTACTCTAAATTTGTTTGATAGTACAGATCTGATGAGCCTGTCGGTAATCTGGCCTGGATGTGAACATTAAAATTGAACTCAAATTTCTAAAAATTAGCTTAATCACAGCTAATTCATTATTTAACATAGAGGGTTGTAACTTTTTCACTGGTTGTTCTTTTTTTTTTTCTTTTTTGGCTCTTTTCCCTTTATAAACGAAACCTTTTAGTCTATTGGTGATTTGTGAAAACCAGCAGTTTGTCATTGATATCTCAGGCGATGCTCTGAATGAAGTAAATATGTTGTGCTGTGTGTGGCAGGTGTCAGCATGGGGCGGATACGTGTTCATCATCAACCTGATTCCTCTTCACGTGTTTGTCCTGCTGCTAATGCAGCGCTTCAGTAAGAGAGTCTACATAGGTGAGATGCAGCAGAGAGACAGAAGCCCTGCATAAATCATCCTCTCTATTTGTATTAAAAGCATAAACTGGATGTTTGTTGGGTTGCTTTGCATGCTTAGCAATTCAACTAGCATAGAAAGTACTGAAAGGGTGAGTATTCAGGAAAATATTTCCACTACGCCTGGATGAACTCAAAGTCTAGAGCTCTACATGCTCTGGAAATCAATTGAATTAGATTTTCATTGAGTACAGAAAAAATAGAAATATGATTTTACTCAATTTCATAATCAGAAAAATCTCTTATTTGTCGCAAAGGCAAATGAAATGTCGTAACTTATTATGCATGCATCTTCAAAGAGTTGCTGTGGATGATGGAAGCGTCTCTGGTAGCAGTCAGTTTTGCAGCAAATCTGAAGTGGCCTCTGACTGAACGCAGTTGCTGACATGATGTGATGGGAAGCAGAGATAATATTCAATAGGAACATGTCAGTTGTTGGCAAGCACTGCTTATCCATTTAATTTGATCCATTTAATTTGCTTTTGTCACTCCTTTAAATCTCTACTTCCTGTTTGCTCTAGAGCAACAGCTTTAATTAATCAGGACTATCTCCAGTGTGAGTTGAAGATTAGTCAGCCAGGTGTGCTTGATCGGCAGCGCCTAGCTACCTTTTATGTTTAATATCTTATTGGATCCTATTGGACAACACCCAGCTTCTCCATTTTGGCTTTTTTTCCCCCCAGTCATTTCTTCCTATTCACCTCAGGTATATTGAAATCATTTTTAGAACCAGAGAGTGACCAACTCGTATGTTTTATATAAAACCTAACATCAGTTTATGGTGTATTTATTTGTTGTTTTACTATAGGTGTATCTGTGCTGCTGATTTAATCATTAACCTGTTTGTCTCTGCAGCGTACAGCACCTTCTACATCTTAGGCCTGATCCTGTCTATGCAGATCCCCTTCGTGGGCTTTCAGCCAATCAGAACAAGCGAACACATGGCAGCAGCAGGTACGTGACCAATCAGAGCGAGTGACAGAGGAAGTTGTATTTAAACAACTTTCTCTGCTGATAAGTGTTAATCCTGGTGTCGCATGTCAGATTATAGTTTCATAAAAAAACAAATTGAACTTTAAATGAAGATTACATTACAGTTTGAATCTTGTAATAACATAACTACAGCATGTTCAGATTGAGTGGATGTGAGTTCTCGTTTGTCATTTTGTTGCATGGAATTTTGCAGTGTTCCTAATGTTTTGCCCCTTTTGCCTGTAGGCGTGTTTGTTCTGCTGCAGGTCTACGCCTTCCTGCAGTATCTGAAGGACCGACTGACCAAGCAGGAGTTCCAGACACTCTTCTTCCTGGGAGTCTCTCTGGCTGCTGGGGTGGTTTTCCTTTCTGTCATCTACCTAACGTACACAGGTTGGTGGGGCTTTATTATATATATATATATATATATATATATATATATATATATATATATATATATATATTTTTTTTTTTTTTTTTTTTTTTTTTCTTTTTTTAAACAAAAAAAAAAAATTTTTTCAACTGGGGGTTAAATATTTTTTTTCTTGGGTT